AGCAGTGATTTGAATTGGCAAAGTTTTTGGTGCATTGCCCAAGTCGAAGAGAGATTTGTTGCCGCTGGCTAAATAATAATAAGACATAATCCCATTTGGCTTTTGTATATTGTGTGTCGTGTGTGGCGGCTGCTTTCTTCAAGGATAATGTTGCATGTACCACATAGACAGACAGGCGTCCATCCTGGCATTCAAATTTTGTAGCCGCCCAGTGATTGGGTTTATTTTCTCTTAGATCAAAGACAATGCATGAGCCTGGGGGCCATTAAAAGGCAAAAATCTATGCCAAATTACATTGTAATCGAGCGCAGCTCAAACATACAAGGCACACACACATGCACGCATACACACACATGCACACAATCACTGTTTGGTGTGTTCTTACGTTTTACGGCCAAATTCAATGCTGGTAATTAACTTTGAAAATCCAATTATGGCAAAACTTTTACCAAAGTTTGTGTGTGGGTGTGCATGTAGGCGTGCGTGTGTGTGTGTGTGGGGTGTGTGTATAAACTTGTAAGTGTAAAGTGTTGCCACACAGCAAGTGTATGGGTGCATTTATAAGTGATATGCAGAACATGCAATTAACAAGAGCAAATTCACTCGACTCACTCAGTGCCGCCTGTGTGTATGTGTGTGTGTGTGCCTGTTGTTGTGCCAGCGTGTGTGTGTGTCTGTGTGTATTTGTATGCGCGTGTGGGCCTCCAGCTACAAGCTCTGCTCAGCTCGCCTTGCTCGCCTCGTGTCGTGTTGCCTTCTGCTCTTTTTTGCCAGGAGGCAGCCACACACACACTGCAGCCGGCGCAGCACGAGACGCCCACTTTCAGCTGCTGCTGGCAATTTTGGCAGCTGCAATTTGGTTAGCCAGCTTGCCCCACCGCACCGCAATGGCCTGTTCGCCCGCCTTCTTCTATTGTTTCCATTTTAATATAATTCTCACGTAATAATTGCGTTTGAGCAGTGTCAAACTATGCCAACAAAAGCAGACGTGTGAAAGGAAGACTCTAGACTTGACAATTTAGACTGTAGACTGATCTTAGGCAGACCCCATTTGTTTTGGCCACTGTTGACCGACTTTGAGAGTTAAGCCAAAAGTTTTTGTAAATGTTCATGCCAACTGCATACTCGTAGTAGAGACAATGCATTCATTGCGAAATGAAGCGATTTTTGTCAAAAATTTTTTTAATTATACCATTTTTAAAGCTGCTATTGAGCTAGCGATTGAGCTTTTGATGTCTACCTATCACATTTAGATTGATGGCTTCCAGTTGAATAATATGAATATAAATATATAGCATTCCTTGTAGATTATATTAGCTAGATAGATTTTCGTTTCGTATACACAAACTAGGAATATTTACATATTGGCTATATCAGCTCCCATGGTAACAATTTTTAATAAATTATATTGCAATATCCTCTACAAGGTTACAAAAAGGCTATTTAGCTTAAAAAACTTCTCAAACTGTAAAACAAAATCTTAATGCATGTTCAGCAAAGTATCAAAATGACTTCTACGCAAGTTTTTATGTTTACTACGTAAACGCCTAAAAGTATACTACGAATTTCGTGGGTTTATAAATAAATGTTTGTAAAGAATATGTCTGAAAATCTGGCTGTGCCACGTCAAATACTGGACAGCACAATAAAAGCAGGCAACTTAAAATAGCCTTTTTAATTTAGAAAGCATTACAAAAAATTGTCTGTCACAAAAGTTGATTGATTCTAAGGATCCTCAGTGAGCTCTAGTATTCATAGAAAACAATCTAGACAACTTTATTAAGTTCTTGATTTATATATTCTATTCTATTTAGGTAATTGGCAACATTCTTTCTGTGTCCTTTGTGGAGTTCCCTTGGCTGGCTCGTCAGCTTTTTGCAGTACTTAAATTGATTTCTGCATGACAGCTTTAAGAACTTCTACTTGTTATTCATAATTCACATTCCTGCGTATTCCTCTAAAGAAATGCCTTGGAAAACTCAAAAAAAAAAAAAAAGGAAGCTTAATGCGGATACAAAGGGCATATCCTTTCCTTATAATTTTTTTTTATATTGTGCTTTCTGTTATAAGAATTTTGCAAATTTGCACCGGAAATTGAATTTTTCATTTGCGTATCCTGCGCAGCCATTTGGTCGCCATCTTTTGCCTGCGCGCCTCTCGGTATTTTATTATTTTTAATTTCCCCGTCAGCAATTATAAGAAATTTTTCTTCGACTTCATTTTGTATAATGATAATTTAATTAGCTGCAAGTGCCTTTTTACCGTTTGCCAGCTCGTTAACTGCACTTAACTGGCGCCCGACGACTTTTCGTGAATTTTTAATGACAGGCCAAACGTTCCACTTCTCGTCCTCATACAACAAACCATCCACCCTAGGCTTCTTTACGCCTCGGGAGATCTGTCATTCACAACAACGCAAACTGGCAGGCTGCTTGGCTGGTCGGCAGGACTGGGCTGGCATTGTGTTTCGCTTTATATGTACATGTCAATTAATGTGAAATTGATAGCATTCGGGAAATTTACTTATATTTTTGCATATGTCAATATTTACATGCCAAACTGCAGTCAGCCGCGAAATTTATGTGCAAACAGAATTGTGTTTGGTCCTATTATTTTTTTGCGTAAATATTTGTGTGCGTATACACGTGGCGTATACGTAATCAGTCAGATGAGCAATAAAATGCGTAGGCTATGGACATATATAACAACGAGCGTGGATTAGCTAGCGTACAGACTAGCGAGTGATGCGTATGACCAGCTCAGTGAACAAATTAGAGCTGAGTCAGTGTGTACAGAGCAGCGAGTAGAAAGCCGTGAAGTATAAGCAACGAGTTGGGAACAGCGAGTTACGGAACGAGTAATAATGAACAAGTATTTAGCAGCGATTACAAAGTAACAGAGAACGCAACGAGTGCAAAGCAGGAGAGCGAATGCAAGGCAACGAGTGGTTAACGAACGAGTTTTGAGTGTCGAGTGGTAAGCAGCTAGTAACGAGTACCAAACAACGAGCAGTAAGCAACAAGATGAAGTAATTTTTAATAAGTGACTTTGTAAAACAGCCAGTGGCAGAACTGTGTAACGAGAGAAATGTAACTATTTTCACGCAGCGAATGTCAATAATGCGAATGATAGACAAAGAGTAGTGAGCATCGTCCAGCAACGAGTGCACTTGCTGAGCGCCAACAATTCGTTTGTCGTTGTAATTCTGGCAATTTGCCTAAGTGCAAACGAATGGACGCCTGGACGCCGCTGTCGACTTGAAAGTTTTAATTAGAAACGCAACTGCGAAATGGAAGACTAAAGGACTAAGAGGGCAGTGCAGCAGGCAGTCAAGCGAAATGAGCAGACAAAATGCGTTGACAGACGATGTGAAAGGAACAACGGCGAAGGCAGCGGCAGCGGCAGCGAATCTCAACGAGGCCAACGCCAAAAAGTAACTTTAATGGCAATGGTAAAAATAAATGAATGGGTAGAAAAAAAAGGAAGAAAAAAGATGGCAGAGCGCACAATTTTATGTGGCACACCAAACTTTTGACATAAATTCGTAGCGCCAAAAAATGAGAACTGATGCGTCCAGCCAGATATACGGCGAGAGAGTTGCCACCTTGGCGGCATGTTACTTAGATACAATTGGCTAAGACGCTGCCAGACGACTGTCAAATTAATTTTAATGCGATTTTCATGGCTGTGTCTCGCATAACTTTTGCGGATTTTAACGATTATTGGCCCTAATGTGAATGCAAGCCCGCAGATACACTCGACACGCGAACAGCGCGTGCTAGAGTTGCCAGATCGCCCGCTCGCCCGCCAGCCTGACTAGCTGCCTGCCCGGCTGCCAGTTTGCCACCCAATTGAAACAATCTTTAAATTTAGCACATGCCGGCGACAGTCGGCAGCAAATGCACAAATTTATTGCCCGCCGCTACTTGAAATTGGTACTGGAACTGGCTTAAACGCTGGCTCATGCATATTTGATGCCAAATATAAAGCGGCCATAAATTCAACTCGAAATTTACGCAGCAAAGTAAAAGTAATGCCTGAAACGAAGGCCGAAACGGGGCCACGCACGCACCTATGTAGCGAGAGCTCAGGACTTGAGAACTTTGTCGTTTGATTTCTTATTTTCCTTTCCCTTCTTTTTTTTTTTTGTTGTTTTAATGTGAAGGACAGAGACTTGGCTGGCGGAGCTTAGTCGTCATCATATAAAAGAAAGTTGCACCGAAAATTGTTTATTTTATTTTCTTTTACTTATTTTTTATTTATTTTCTTGCTGTTGTTGTACTTTACCTTGACGGCATTGACAAGTTGAGCGACTGCGTTTGAGGCTTACCTATAATGGTTTATTAAAAATTAAATAAATATTGTGGTTCTGAAACTCGCCGGTAATAACAGCTTGAAAATGGGCCAGGGGGAGTATGTGGGGGCAGAAGGAAAGCTTCTTATGTTCGACAAAATTGAAAAGTTGTCAATCTCTTGTGGCGCACATCAAAAAAAAAAAAAAAAAATTTGTTTCAAATATGCATACAAAAATGACAGAAAAAAGGGAGCGTTTTATGAAAAAAGTTTAAAATACTGTACAATGCATATTTAGGGGTATTTATCAAAAGTTTATTGACAAGTTTTTGTAGTTTTGAGGTCATCAAAAAATATAAATTTAATAAAATAATTTATATTGAATTATACAGAAAAATAATTTTATTAAATAAAAAAATATTATAAAATAATGAAATTAAAAGGAAATGCTCGAGCTACATGAAGAAAATATTTTGATAAAAGGAAACTTATAAATATATAAAATGCATCCATTAAAATCGATCTTGTTTAACTGTTAATTACTTTTAAATGTAAAAGATGTAGTTTATTTTAATTTTGCACTTTTAGCAAAGTTGGGAATATTATTTTAGTTGTTGCTCTCTTTTGCTGCCCATTTACAATTTAGCAAGTCAACTTTTTAAGCCAACATTTTAATTATATTTTCTATATATTTCTCTTTTTTGCAGTCCTATTGACAACGTTGAGCGGCTGCTGTCTGGTCCTGGCCGATGAGTCCATCGACACCCGCGAGAACGCGGATCTCGTGTTGAAGTGTCGCTTCACCGAGAAATATGAGGCAAACGATTTCTCATTCTTTTGGACGCGTTCGATATCGAATCCGGCGCAATTTGACAACGTAGCCATTGGTGAAGTGCAGTTGAGTTCCGGCTATAGGTAAGTAAAACCCGCTCTAACAACCACACACACACACACACACCCACACACACCCACAGCCACTCACACTCGCTCATAAAACGATGATGTGCGTCGGGCCCGTAGTTAACTGCAGCAATGAAAATCTGTGGAAATTGCTGTGCCAGTTCCTGTTCCTCTTGCTGTTTGCAGTTATCCTGTTATGTCAGCCCTTGCCATTTGTTAAGTTAATTAAATGTCGCACACACACACACACACACACTGAAACATATATATATATATATATAATTACATATATGTAATGCGATTTATGCATGTGACTCAGTGTCTGGGAACTTAATTAAAATCAAGTTCTTGGCTATTTAAACGGGTCGCAACAGCGGCTCAGTTGGCCAGCAAACAGTTCTGGCCATATCCTTAATCCTTAATGTCAATGCCGACGCGTGTTAAACATTCGCACAGTTATGAGGTACACACACACGCACATCCACACACTCGCACATCCACTCACTCACACGTGTCTGTTTATGTTTCATTTTCATTACCCGCGCGCCTGCTCGTCCGCTCGTTCGCGCCATTTTGCAATTGTATTTTTATTTGCTTCGTGCCTCGACTTCCGCTTCCGGCTCTCGTTGCGCACTCGGCCTGTTTTTAATGTATCGCTTGGTTTGACTCGTTTTCTGTTTTTCTCCTGCTTCCGCTGTTGCCGCTTCTTTTGCCTTCTTTATGTGGCAACGCATAAATTTTAAGTGCCCAGTCGAGGCCACAAAATGCATCGCGTTTGCCTGCCAAATGAAATGCCCAACAGCAGGCAGCGCTGTCGGACATTTTGCCAGCTATATATGTGTGTGAGTGTGTGTATGTGTGTGTATACACTCGCACAATAAAAGCAAATCAACAAAACAGCAAATAGAAATCCAAAACATAAAAAAAAGCGCAAGCAATGCTAACGTAGCACTCGCTGGGTCGAGGCCCAGTTCCCAGGCAAATTGTAAAATACATTTTTACTGCAATTTGTGCCGAAAGCTAACAAGCAGCAGCAGCAACAATAAGAACAACCAAACATAATACAAACCGCGTCCTCACCAAGGCATTCCCCATATACCTCTATATTCCGGCAATTGTATCTGTATCTGTTAAATGTATCTGTATCCGTATCCATATCTGTGTATCTGTCGCTGCAAAAGTGAAATTACTGCAAATTTCGCAGCTAGCCAAAAAGGCCGCTGCGATTTCTGTGTTCAACGAAACCCCAAAATGGCATAACAAAATAAAGACCCACAGGCAGCGCAGAGAAACTGGAGAGCAGAGCATAGCAGCTCAGGGAGCCTGAAGCTAATATATCGTTAAACATTTCATTTAACGAGCCAGACGCAGACACAAATTTTTGGCCGACCATTTCGGAATGCAAGTCATGCTGCCAATTGGTGATTCTAGCAAATCGCAACAAATCTCCGTAAAAACGCCAACAATTTGCTTAAAACTTCAATCATTTCTATTGAATCAAGTGTGGGTGGCACTTTAAAGTAGAATGCAAATATAAATACCACTATATATATATATATATGTATATATCGAAATGCAGTCGTTTCCACTTGCTGGAATATCGCTTTTGGTGCACAATCAAAAATGTAGACAACACACACATTGAAATTGAGTTGAAAGCCGAAACCAAAACATGTACCGGAATGTCCCATTGCCGAATAATTGGCTGCGGCAATGGCCGTTTAACGTTTAGCTCCAAACGGATAGACGTCCAGAATATATATATATATATATATATATATAGATATAGATGAAGAGAATCTGCATTGGAATCTGCTAAACGAATTCGAATTCCGAGCACAACGAACCGAATAGCAGACAGAATACGCCTCCGGCAATGGCACACTAAAAATTGCAGCAACAGCTCGCCGCCTGCCGTGGGCCAGGAGAATAGGGCGGTTATTGCGGGGAAAAAAAAATGAAAATAATAATACAGGGGCTATACTACAAATCCCGCAGGAGCTTTTGGCGCTCAAGGACGTGCGACACGCGCGCCTTTTTTTTTTTTTTTTAAATACTTTAAGCGAACGCTTGCTGCATTCTACGAAAGATTCGCGTTTTTCCCCAAGAGGCCGGCGATGAGTGGAGAACTGCGCTTTGCCAGCAATTTTTATAATTTGCACCATTTTTTTTCCTTTTACTTTTGTATCCTGTTGGCCCGCTGTCCTGTCCCCAAGCTCAGGCTGCAAATGAGCAGCTATGGCGGCCGCTGGAGACGCCGCGGCAAATAGAAAAATAATAATACAAAAAAAAAAAAAATTGAAAAAATAGATTCAACTAGACGAAGGACGTACGGGCTAGAGCCTGTAGAGAATTGAGTCAATTTGCCTGGCTACAATAATTTTTTCCCTTTATTATTTTTTTTTTTTTTGTGGGTCAACATTGTTATTTAAGTTTTTTTTTGTCTTGCGTATTCTCCATTTGGAGGTTTTTTCCTTGTATATTTTTTTCTGTCAGTTTTTTGGCCAAGTTGCCATCCACGCTCTGCTGTGGTTTCACTGTACGGTAAACGCGTTCGTCTAACAAATTAAATTCTTTTTCCGCTGACGCGTGTTTTTGCGGCTTACAGCAATTAGCGTGGGACGCAGTACGAGTAAGGGGTAGTGCGGAGCGGCTGCTGTGTTGCTGAGTGAATTGTCAATTAAAGCCATAAAATGCGTCTAGACGCCAAATGAGATGTGTCGAGCTGCTATCAAGTGTCCTCAATGTCCAGTCACGCCTTGGCACTTGGCAAACACCACTTCGCTGCCTTTGAGCTGTGCTTGTCAAATGAAGTTCATAGTTCGCCATGGGGAAGGGGGGCTCCGGAGGGGTCAGCATGTTGTTTGCCAATTTAATAAACTGCTGTGCAATCGCTGCGTCGCAGCCATCGATCCATTGACCAGCCAAGTGGACGGTGGCAGCTCCTCAGCTGCGTATCAATTTTCAGTAGTTGTCCTGGACAACCAACGAAATAATCAGCGTGCTGGGGAGTAAATTGTGAAAAATTGCCAAAATATATATAAAATAAAATAAGAGACGAATATAAAATTGAAGAACAGTTCGAAGTAAAAATCATAAGCTAGCCGAAGACTAAATACACTAGCGGAAAGACATGATTGAGTAAAATTGAATGTTAACACATATACATATAAACTACAGAGGAAAAGGAATAATGAAAATGTTTATAAAATTCAAAATTAAAGAAGAAACTCTAGCTTAAAATAATAACAAAAATTGAATTAATATTTAATATTAATACATGCTAAACATTTTTATGGTTAATTTTGCTTTAAGCAATTTCACAACTGAAAATCTTCCCATGTCAAGACAAACTCTGTTTCTTGTCATCCACTCTGGTACATATTCCATACACCTCACAGTCGTATGCGTCCCAATTGTGTTTATCGCATCATAATACTCCAAGCTGTTGAACTTAAATGGATTTCTTAAGAATAAATACATTTGGCAACTAGAACAAATTGAAGCAGCTAAAAATTGAGACAACTTTTGGGAAATTGATTGATTTTCTCTTGATTATCCGGCAATGGGGAAATTTGTTTTTCCCAAGCATTTAGCAAATATAGAAATTCAATTAGGAATAAGAAAAGTTGCAAAATTTACAATTAAAATGTGGACTTAAATTTCTGCCTTGGCAGTTAAATTGGCAACAGAAAGGAAACACTTCAAGCCCAACGACAACAGCAGCAACAACAATAACAACTGCAGAAATGTTGACATTTTGTTTACCAATCGGTTGCTAACGTCTGGCAACCCTCCGCAGTTGCCAAACCTTCCAATTTTTCACCGTTGTCATCGTTATCGTCCATCGAAGTCATCGTCTAGGAATATATGCAAACATTTATTGAACGTTGATTTTATTTATGTTGCTGTCACACGCCCCGCTTTATGCCCCTTGCCTCTTGCTCCTGCCATTGGCAGCCCCAGGTCAAATATTAACATTTGCTATTTATTTATATTGCGAATCGTTTAAAGTTGAACCACCTGCGGGCCCGTACGGCAGCAGTCGGCAGCAGTCAGGACCCGCAGCAGGACATCAACAAAAAACTCAATATTAGCACAATTAGTGTTGGGGCTCCTAAAGGGGGGCCGACACGGGCGAGGTGTGTGCACCCAGTGAAGTTTTTAAATAACATAAATTGAATTTTCAAATAGAATTACCGTTTGATATCCGGAAAGAAAATACTTATAAAATGTGTGTGTATATAAATATTTTTAATTAATTTTCTTTAATTTTCTGTACCAATTGCAGACTCGACTTTCAACCGGAGCGAGGTATTTATGATCTGCAGATCAAGAATGTCTCCTATAATCGGGACAATGGACGCTTCGAGTGCCGCATCAAGGCCAAAGGCACCGGTGCCGATGTGCATCAGGAATTTCATAATCTCACCGTCCTAACGGCCCCACATCCGCCCGTCATATCGCCCGGCAGCATTGCCGTTGCTACCGAGGACAAACCCATGGAACTGACCTGCAGCAGCATTGGCGGCTCACCGGATCCTACCATAACGTAAGTCTCGGGGACTATCTACATAAGCTATATATGCTTATACATATATAACAACTCGGACCAACTGCTGAATCTATATTTCTCTGCTTCTTTCACATGTTCAGCTGGTACCGCGAGGGCTCGAACTCGCCGCTGCCCGCCACTGTGCTGCGCGGTGGCACCAAGGATCAACCCACCAATGCCACGCTCTCGATTACACCACGTCGCGAAGACGATGGCGCCAAGTACAAGTGTGTGGTGCGCAATCGTGCCATGAACGAGGGTAAACGCCTGGAGGCCACAACCACATTGAATGTTAACTGTGAGTACCGATTTAATTCTATCTGCATATAACCTATATCCAACTTCTAAATGGGGCTAAATCAGTGGCAGACCAAACTTGTGCATAATAATACTGGGAATATAATAATATTCGATAATATAAAATACTTGAGAAGCCTTTGCTAAGACTTAAAACCTAAAGTATTCGATATGTTGAGTCTAAAGAAAAATTAAAACTTTCTTTAATGAAGCTATCTAGCTATCTCATTACCAAATAAATTACATTTGTTGTATTTCCTTCCCGAGCTAGCCCATTCTCATTTGCTCTGATTAAAAACTATGATCTGTTATGCTGACAAATGCCTTTGACATTATTTCAACTAACTTGAACTCGGCTTGCAATTGCGGCTAAATATAGCAAACGCAGCTAATTGTTAACTTGCAAACTGCCGCCCGGGTAAACCCCTGCCCTTGCTGCGCTTTTCATTACAGTATTGCAGTTTGTCTTTTGAGTGGAAGTGGCAGCTGCCTGAATGTTGGCTGGGGGCGTGTCACATCAGTTGACCTCTGTGGCCAACGTTGGGGAACGTCTAATTAGCATTGCTCGGCGATTACAATGGGCAACAACTAAATAAATAGCTGCATAATGAAGTGACCACCAGACATGACCACTGACATTGCAGTCATGCCCTGCCCCGCCCCCTCCCGCCTTGCTCCTCATTTAGCGACTCGCCCACCACAACTCCCACTGACTACTCATTTGTTATGGCTGCAACGAGCTACTCGACAAATGCTGACACATTTGTTAAAACGTTGTTAAAACTGTCGGAGAACAGCAGCAGCCGCAGCCATTTAGATGAGTCCCTAAACAGCAACAACAACACGGGCTAATGTATATACATTTAGATATGTTGCATATGTAATCAAATGTATATGTACACTTAGAGAAAAACTCTTTTCCAAAGACTAGTATGAACGGGCTACAATTCAGACTCTGATTGCCTTAAATTTGAGGCACATTTATTTTTGTTTCATAAATACTTAAAACAAAAGTTAAAATGCCTAAATTGAATCGCGAAACGTACTTGAAGCAAGTAAAACATATCGAGCTTCAAAAAGTTCTCGAAATGAAGGCTCGTGTTCAGCTTTAATATACATTTTCTTTATTATTATTATAAATAAATAACTAGTTCTTTTTTTAAGAAGTTCATTCTCAGCTTAAGAAATTTTTACCTTGTTTGTACGTCGTTTGTATTTAATTCGAGTAAAATATGCCTGATTTTCTGTTTTTCTTCAAGTGTAAAAATTGTTGTAAAGCCAACATTAATTAACCGAAGCTGACGTTGTTGACCTGCTGACTGCGAACACAAGTAATTAGAATAGAAATTTATGTGTGGCCAACAAAGTTTTCGTTGTTGTTGTTGTTGCAACAAGTGGCAGCTAAACGTTGCATTAGCCAGGACACTACGCCCATGACGCTATTAGAGCTAATCAAAAGCCAAATAAAAGCCAAAAACCTAAAATACTGCCACGACAATCGCAGCCAGCAGCAGCAGCAGCAGCAACGAGGACAACACATCTGAGGTCAACCATCAAATGTGTAATTAATTCAAATACAAAACCACAAGAACATCGCACACAGTAATTAGCCGGTTGGCCATGCTTAAAGCTATCGTCCAATGTGCCACTGCAGGTGCGTGCGTGGGGTGGTACCTTTCTCCTTCTCTCCCTTCCTCTCCGTCTCTCTGCTGTAGCGCAGTCTGTGGGCTAATTGCATTTGCATGCATTTTGGGCGGAACGACGAAGCATTGATTAACCATTCAGGGACTGTGTACTGAGTAAAAACTCAATTTGTTTTGAGAAAGTGTACAGGGGAGATGAGCTTTTTGAGGATTACGGAAGCCTATATGTCAGACGTGGTAAATGCTTCTTTACTTCGCCTGTTCATAAAATACAATTTACAGCCATCTGTTACTCTGGGAACTGTATGATTTGCTATGATTCAAAGTTGTTCACATTTGGCATATTATTTAGAGTGTGCCAAAAGAATTCGCATGGTTTTACTATGTTATCTCTGTTGTACAATTTGCAGCACTGGCTTTAGGAACTTTTCAATACTTGTTCAACTTGCACTTTGGTCACGTCACCGTTTGTTAACAGCCCAAGTTTTAATGTCTCTCTTTTTTATGGCTGCGCTCGTTTTATAAACCAATTAATATCTTAAAACAAGTTGTAGTTGTAGAACTTTAAATGGGTTTATGCATAGCTAAAACGCCGACACGCAATCTTCAACGGCCAGCTCCCACGTGTCGTATGCGCAATGCCATATAAAACACAACGAAGGCAACAACAACAACAGGCAACAACAGGCAACTGTCTGACCTGTCGCATAAATGTCGCTAATTAGCCGCCGTTACGTGCATAACTCTTTTTGAGAACTGGACCACGCCCACACTGACTGTCGCCAGCCATATGTCGCCCCCTTGCTTACACCGCACACGCCCGCACACTGATTGAGCTAATTGAAGCATATGAGTGTTTATATGAGTGTTTATATGAGTGTTGTATGAGTATATGTGAATAAATACATGAACATATGCAATGGGCGCATTTTAAAATGATGCGACTGCGGTTTAATTAAAACACAAACGCCCAACCACATGCCACGCCCACCAATGCCCGACAGCTAATTTGCATTTATAAGCCGCATTATATTTTATATTGTTTGTTGTTGTTGTTGTTGTTATTTGTTATGTTTAGATTGTTCAACACAATGTTTAATTAGAAATATTTTGCAATAAGCGCCAACCGCAAAGTAAACGCAACGATTTGTAATTCTAATGTTTATTAATTGGCATTTAAGGGTATTTTGTTCGGCTGCAGGGCTGCAGGGCCGATTGGCCCATATAAATTCAACTGCCTATAGCCAAAAAAGAAAAATACTCAAGGCTGCCACCGTTACCCAAAAAGATGCTGACAAAGGCAAACCGCAGAGGTGCCACAAGTAATTACAGCAAACAGAGGCGTGGCACAGGCAGTGAAAGAAGAGGGGAGGTGATGTGGGGCAATGTCCAACCAATGTCCGATATGTGGGCTATGATTTTCCACTTGCGGTCAACTGCCACCTAAGTTTAAGGGACGTGCAGCGTAATGCGTTTTTAAGCAAGCCTCGGGAAGCTGATCAAAAGCAAAAGTCCTTGCCCACAGGCAGCAGGATGTCTAGCATTTGCGGTTTCTGTGTGCTGCGGGCCAAAAGCAACACACACACACGCACAGCCTGCGGCTCCTTCTGTTCAATTCATCCAGGAGCATCCTTTCGTAGCTAGCCTCTGCTGTTGTGTTTGCTTAGTCAACAGCATTTTCAGCATTTGCCTAGCAAATTAAATCAAAAACAATTTAATTGCTAGTTTCAACAGGAAATGTTTTTCGATTTTCCAATTTACCCATTTTGCCATTTTACCTTATTTTGCTTCGTTTAACAGTAGGCATTTTCTGATTTACGTTCAACAGTAAAAATTCACTTAGGCCTGCTCCAATTGACACAAACAAATTAGTTAGTTGCCCGAGACATTACCTACATCAACTCTGGCAACTCCGTCAGCCCCTCTTTACACAGTCTGGCAACACGCCTTTCACCAACTTCTTGTCTAATCGCTTGCAATAAGTCAAATTGCCCAAATTGCGGGCAATAAATTGCAGGAGACCGTGGCAAATCTTAAGTAGTCGCTGCTAATAACCACAAAATGACAAAACGTCGCGAAAAATTGAAACTTTAAAGGGTATTTAGTGCGGGTATATGCGTAGCCGAGGGTGTGTTTGTCGAATGTTTTAATTGGAGTAACAATTTCAATAGGTTTGTATTTCAGTACTCTACCTGCCGAATTTCTTATAAAATATAGAATAAAAATGAAAAAATTTACAGTCAGATGGTAGGAAAAACAGAAGATAAGAATCGACTATTGATAAGAATAGATATATCATTATAATATATTAAATTGGCTGGCTGTGATAGAGTACAAAAGCTAAAGCAGGGCTAACATATTTTATTTCACTCGCTGTCCAGCCATCACTTTTTCTAGTTCAACATGAGTAGCATACAAATTTGTGATTTCTCTTTTCTGCGGCATTCGTAAACGTCGCACGCGCTGCTTGGCTCTAATAGCATAGACTTTATTATTATATTTTTTTTTTCACAAATTAAGCTTGATTTGAATCGTTTAGAGCTCAGCTAGGTGCTCAAAAGTATATCTTCAATCAGACTAAATCTGCAATTGCCAACAGGCCAATCCCTGGTCGACCACGTTTATTTCGATTTAGCCTCGAGTGGAAGGAAAAAATACATTAACTGGATTCAGAGTTTAGGGTGTTTACGTGCCTGCCCGCTGGCATTAGAATTTACCCAGTGCGCATTTGCTCCAGGCTTAAGCTGAGAAACGCTAATTTATTGTCCTGCCCTCGCGCACGCTGCTGATGAGCCTAATCGGATCTCACCTGGGCGCACCTTAAACCACCTTCAAGCGCTGCAAAGCGGGCAAGCAACAGACAGCTGCTGGCGAGGATTGGGCCAGTCGTAGAGAAAGAGGGTTGCCTGTATGACTTTAGATTTGATTCTAAGCCGACAACCCTGCCACTGAATGTTGTTGTTGTTGTTGCTGTCAAATGTTTTTGTATTTTTTTGTTTGGCGAGAATTTGAAGGTGCTTAAAGTCGCGCGGAGCTTAGCAAAAATTTTACAGTCAGACACATGGGAAAATATTGACAATGCGTTCGTGTTCGCTCCCGGAGGACATGTTTTGTGTCCTGGCGCCTATCATTTTCATAGTTTAATGTCAGGCAATTAACTTTTGTCTGGCCTGCCTCAAAAGAGCCCAAAAGCATTTACAGTGGGATAAGAGGGAAGACCAAAAACCTGCAAAAGATGGAGAGGGGGTAGTGGGGCTAGGAGAAATGTCGAACGCTCTGTTGACCCGCCGCGCAGCCCTCTGCTGCCAGTCAGCGATGAGATCATGCATAAAAAGGCAGCCCGGGCACGTTCCGGATA